CCTCTCTCTTTATCCCCCCTCTCTCTCTCCCCTTCCCTTTCAATGTCTTTCCTCCCCCTCTCCCTCTTTCCCTCCCCCCTGCACAAGACGTAAGCTGCCAACATCTTAAGTATGTCACTTCCAACTCCAGAACTGTGGACGGTTGGCGGGTGCTCTTGTGTGGTTTGCTCATCCTTCTTTCCTCTAAAAAAATTGAAATCTCTATCTCCCCTCCTTCTTTTTTGTGTTTGCTACTCTATTTTAACATCTCTAATCGTCGGCCCTTACATGACCTTATTGTATTGCAAGTGCTATAAAACTCTTTATTAAAAACCAAAACATTTTTCCCCAGAACGACTTCCACCTCGCCAGACAACGGTTCCAGACAATGTCAGTGACGCTGTACCAGCAGTCCTGGTTTCTCATCGCTACCCTGGGATGTTTGATTTTCACCACGTAAGCGATAGTAATTAGCATCATCATCATCATCATCATCATCATCATCATCATCATCATCATATCATCATCATCATCATCATCATCATCATCATCACCATCATCATCATCATCATCCGATGCCTTGCCGACTGGTGTGGGCGATCATGGACCTCCACTTCCATTTGTCTTGCGTTGCAGCGATGGTGTCTGTTGTTCTTGCTGCTCCTAGCCATGTTGTCAACTTGTCCAGTATCTTTTCCCTCCGTCTGCCTCTGCCTCTCTTTCCATCAAACTTGCCAGTTGTTACAATATTCTCCAATGCTTCTTTCCGCATTGTGTGTCCAATGAAATTTCCCTGTCGCTTTCGTATGTCATCAGCATATTATTATTTTAAAATCATAAATTGTATCGTTGTTCAACTACTGTTCTAAGACTTAAAAACAAAACCGCTTTTTGAAAAAGTATAGAGAGGGAAAACAGTTTCAATCGTTAATAAATGGTACGAAAATTATGTATCTTTTCATGCTTTTTTTTAACAGTTCTCTTTTCTTTTTTTTGTCCCGTGTCTTGATTTTGGTGCCCATATTTGTTGGTTACCTAATAATGTATTGGCATGGTGCAAATTGTTATGTTTTCTAGAAAAACGAAACAAGAAAAAGGAGAATTGTCAAGTCAGTAATGATGATGATGATGGTGATGATGATGATGATGATGATGATGATGATGATGATGATGATTTTTTTTCGTTTCCTTAATGGGCCTGAGGGACTTCACGAAGAAATCTTCGAGCGAGAGCGAGGCTCTTTTTCGGCTCCATTGTCAATATGCTTAGCGGCACCTCCACTCGTCCAAATAACTCCATTCGAATTGCCATTGTTCCTGGACATTCAAACATATGTTTGATATCCTCCTTTTCATGGCCGCATCTTCGGCAACATGGGCTTTACAAAGTTCTTATACCATCTTAAACTCCAATGATGGTCCGACCGCAGTCTCGCTAGCTCAACCTGGTCCCAGCGACATGTGATAGATTTTTGTTCCCGCTTATAGGAGTACCCAGAATACACATCTTCCAGGTGCTGGTACTTAGTTCTACATGGTGGGTCTCTGATTTCTCTCTTGATTATTGGAAAGACTCCTCTGTATGTCGTTGGTCGTCTGTCTCCTTCGATCTCTCTGGCTTCATTAGCAACTTGGTCTGCTGCCTCATTTCCTTCTATTCCAACATGGCTTGGAATCCACTGTATTTTTATTGTGGCTCTGGCTTCACTTAACATGCGGCGCAAATCATTCATGTCCGAGCTGTTGCCCAGCAGCCCCTTGCAGAGGGACTGACTGTCAGTCAAGATCAGCACATTGGTCCTACTGTGGCAATTGTCGACCATCCATTGTGCAGCAGACATCATTGCCTGGCACTCCTCATCATAAGATGATGTAAGGAATGCACCTTTAGTTTTAATAATTTCGGTTCGTGGTGGTTCATCATTTATTATCACTACTGCTGCTGCTCCACCTTCGCGGTATCCTGCGACTGCCGATCCATCGGTGAAAATTGTCACATCCGCACCAACCTCTTTGATCACATCCTCAGCTGCTTCACGTGCCTTTACAGGATCATCACCGTTTCCTTTTACTCCTCTCAGTTCTGTCCGAATTTCGATTTCGCCATGGGTCTCCCATGGACAAGCTCTCACCAGATTGATCGGCCACCGATTCTCTGCTTCAGGGGGGAGGTGGTCTGCTAGATCGGTGCCCATCCGAAACCAACTTTTCCTGATGATGATGATGATGATGATGATGATGATGATGATGATGATGATGATGATGACGAAGTTTGTTTTTTTCTCAACATTTAAAATTTGAAACTCAACAAAAATATTTCTGGAGCACATGCAACCAGTGCCGCAGGCTAACTATATGTTATTAAAAAGTTTTCATCAGGGGGCTCTCGTAGTGTAGAGGTTAAGGTGTTGGCCTTTCATTCAAGGGTTCTGGGTTCGAATCCGGGTAGCGACCGAAAAGGTTTCTTCTATAAAATTGTTTCCTGTCACCTCCTTTCCTGCTCTCTAGCAATGTTCTGTCGTCTGCTTTGGTCTCCTCTTTCAGCCCCAACCCCCTCACCTCCTTGCCCCTCTTCTTGGCTTCTGACTCTTTCTGCAGCCTTTCTACTGCTACTCCTTAGCTCCTTCTTACTGCTGTCTTTTAGCCACACCCCTATCTTCTGGCAGGAAAGATCTACACCTAGCCTACTCGGACAAGGTCGAAAAATCTCGGAGGTCTAGAGTGCATGTTGCGCACGTTAAAGATCCCTTGGTGGTCTAAAATCGATAAGAGTAGGCTTCGGCGGCCACCCAGGCAAAATTCAAAAATTCTTACCACTAAAAAAGTTTAATGTGTCCCGTGCGCTCATATGTCCTTATGCAGCTGCGAGCGCCGTAAAACACTTACCAAAAATTTTAAACAATTTTTTTAAGTTTCCAAAATGGTGGGAACAGCTGGCCGATGATAGTATGCATTGTGACCACTTATTGGGAACATCATGTAGTTTTTCAAAGATTATGACGAACTGCTTTACGTGGTTGGTTTCTTTTCGGTCCTCTGTTATTGAGAGCGTGCTCATAAACAAAAAAAATAAGACTTTATGCAGTTGTGAGCGTCGTAACCATTTAACACAAGAGAAAACGGATATGTAACCTTATTATAAAAGTATAATATTATATCCTAAAATATAATTTTAACATTATAATATATGATATGATATGGTACATGATATCATATTATATCATATGATCGGATCTGATCTGATCTGATGTGATATAATATAATACGATATGATATGATATAATATGATATAATATGATTTCATATAATATACATTTACATGTAAACAGCAAACGTGTACGTGTTGTTGTCCACCCTCAGTATCTGCGGCATCCAGCACATCCAACGAGGCAGCCACAAGAAGCCCCTGAACATGTTCGAGGCCGTGTACTTTGTCATAGTGACTCTGTCCACCGTGGGCTACGGCGATATCTCTCCGGACATCTGGCTGGGACAGCTATTCATGCTTTTCATGATCTGTGTGGCCTTCTCCTTCATCCCCAGGCAGGTCCGTTCTTTTTAAAAAAATTCATTCATTCATTCATTCATTCATTCATCCATTCATTCCTTCGTTCGTTCGTTCGTTCGTTCGTTCGTTCGTTCGTTCGTTCGTTCGTTCGTTCGTTCGTTCGTTCGTGCATTCATTCTTTCTTTCTTTCATTCATTCCTTCCTTCATTCATTCTTTCATCCATTCCTTCTTTCCTTCCTTCCTTCTTTCCTTCCTTCTTTCCTTCCTTCCTTCATTTATTCATTCTTTCATTCATTCATCTAAAATCGATACGAGTAGGTTTCGGCCGCCACCCGGGCAAAACTCTAAATTTCCTGCCAACTGAAAATGTGTATTGTGTCCCGAGCGCTCATATGACCTTATACAGTTGCGAGCGCCGTAAAACACTTACCC